ATGCCTCAGAGAATGAATTGAAACTTTCAGCCCAGGTCACAAACTGCTGCACATAGTGAAGGCTTGCTCTTCTTCTGACTTCCAAGTCAAACCACAAATAATGAGGGTCTCTCTTAAATGGGACCAAGTAAAAACTTCAAGAAGAAAAACAGTGTTTGCCGTAGGAACAACTGCTCCATCACACTGTAACACTGTAAAGGTGCAGCCTCATGGAGACCGATGGGCTGGGAAGGCAAACATGGGGGTTATAGGCCAATGCAGGCAGCTGACTAGAGAGGTACCTGATTTATTCTTTTCATTAGGTTTTTACCCACCACTAGCCACGCATCCACAACCCCCGCCCGTTCAGAACCAGTGTGTATCTCCTACCTTTCTAAAATTGCACTTTCCACATTCATTTTGGTAAAATGTTTTTGGATTTAAGAAAAAACATGAAAAAGCCAAATGAGCAAAATATATGTAAGTCTAATTGATGCAAATATTTTTAGCTGGAGTTTGACCTCCAGCTGCCCCAAAAAGGTGGAGGGGGGGAGAGCAGGAGGAGAGCGGGGGAAGAGGGCTCAGCTCATGGGTTATAGCAACGATCTAGGCATTAGGAAATTCTTGGCACATGCCTTTGCCACTGTGTTACTGCGAGAATCTGGATAAGTTACTTACCTTCAGGAATACAGAGACTTTTCAGGAGACCAAAGGCAACAACTGAACTTCTGCCTTCAGTCCGTTAGGATGGATTGGAATGCAGTGAGCCAGTAGAGGCAAACTCTCATTTCTCAGTAGAGGCAAACTACCATTACTTCAATCCCGTTCTGCTCAGCAGCCTAATTTACTGTCTGTTCAAAAAAGCCATACCACTATTTGCCTGTCTCAAAGGAGCTCTGTGAAATTTGATTCATTAAGCTGCGTTAAGTGCCATGAGATTTTCCCATGGAAAAAGCTTTAGAAGTGCAGAGCGCTGTGATCTTACGCGGAGCCTCCTCTGTCCAAGGACTGTGCAAGTACGCATGTGCGTTGTGTTGCAGGGACCTAATCTCTTCTAACACTTCTAAGGTTTTCCTTTTTCCAAAGCGTTTCATGTCCTCTCCTAGCCTATGCACATTCAAACAGACCATGTAACGGCCTGTGGGTGGTTAAGAAGAAGAGAAAATGTAACCAAAAGCGTTAGAATAAATCCTATTCCCAGCCAAAAAGTCCTGCACAGGATTATCAGAATACTTGATGGGATTCAACAAATGGCTTTCAACAAATCAAAAGACAGACCAGGGTTTCTGAGGCAGGTGTTAACCTGCCTGACCCCATCTATCATCAGGATTATTGAATGACCAGGAATACACTGGGAAACCTTTTTACTGTTTTAATGTTTTTTAAACCTTTTTTAATGTTTTAAACTAGATTGGCAATTTCCCACAAGTATATGTGCTGTCCCTCATTTATAGAGAACTAATCATGACGCAATGGAGTAGTGGAAATGAAGACTTAAAAAAATGGCACTGCTACCCTACTAGAGATGTGGCTCAAAAACTGTGACAGGGACGGCATTCTCCTCTGGCGCTATTCTGGCTGCTCCATTTGCACAATTTGCTGGTGCAGTCTCTCTGCCAAGGGACACTGCTCACACTGGACTTTTTGCTCGGCAGGTCCTTACAAATCACCTGCCGACCTAGGAGCTTAGTGAGATTTGGTTAGGAAGTGGATGCTTTAACACAGGACGATGTCTACGCCAATGAAGGCAGTAGTGTGAGTGCAGATGAAGGTTTCCAGAATGATTCTGCCTTGCATTCCACCCTGACTATACCAGAATCTGACTATATCAGCACGCCTTGTCCGTAGCAAACGACGTAAAGCCGCTGTTGGGGGATTGCAGCAACGGAATGGAACATTCAGCCTTTTTTTCAAAGGTGCTAAGCATCTGCAAAACCCACTGGTTTCAACAACAAGAAAACCAGGCTACTACTGCTACTTAAGTGCCAACATATGGATTTCAGGCTCTAATTGCATGCACCATGGCTTGATTAAATTGCTGCCTGGAGCTTTGCCCAAATAGATTATTTCACTTAACGAAAGCTAGATCTACAGTGAAATTCTGAAGCTATAGCACACATCCCAAGGCAGCATGGAGCTACAGTGTAGATATGCCTCATGTGGTTTAACCTTAGTCCACGTACCTCTAGTCTACATCACATTGTCCCATACTACACTGAGACACTGCAGTATAAGCATAGCATTAAATATCTCTCCAGCTTCTCTGTTCCTTTTCTTGTTGCTGGATATCAACAGTTTTATCAGGATCAGATTTTCAAAGCAGATGATTCAGATCGCTGTGGAACTGGCTAGAAAAAAATAGGACCATTCCGAAACGCATCAGTTAAGTGCCTGAACCATAATTCTTTTGAAGAACTAGTCCCTAAAATCAAGATGCTATAATATTCTACAAAATCCCCAGCTTCAGGATTTTGAGAAGAATTCCCTGCACTGAATTAATCACAGATACAACTTTATTGAGCTCCACGATCAGTCACAGCTCTCAGGGGTGATTGGGTCACTACCCTCTATGATTAATCAGACTTTTTTTTTTTTTTTGATCTCTGAAAAAACTACCATCTGGACAGCAGTGCAGTGAAGAGCATTACAGAAAACAACATTGCAACAGGAAGCCTTTCTTCTTCCCGTAGCACAGGAAGCAGAATTGCACGTGTTGTTTGCATTGGCCCCAGAAATACTGACCTCCAAGGCATAGGGCTAGCTTACCAGCGAGGGAGTAGCTCTGTCTTCCTGCCTAAGGATGCTTTTTCTGCATAGACTAACATAAATAAAAACAATAGAAAAGCTGCTATTTTTCTTAGCGCTATCTTTCTGCAAGCCGAAGGCTTGACTACACACTGCTTTCACTAGAAAATTGACTTCTTTTTTAGCCAATTTAGGGGGGAAAAACTGCAGAATAATATATACGTGTATCCTTATTATGATTTAGCTCAAATAAAATAATTCCTGTTAAGCTGAGACAAGAATAGCAATTCCAGCCCACACACTTCTGCAAGAAATGTTCTGGAATACGTACACTGAGGATGTTCTTATGACAAAATCAAAGTGCTCTTTTTCAGTGAGGGCATGAGACCAAACCACGTGAATATAAAGGACATGCGGACAAAAGTCACAGGGTCACTCAGGCTTGACAGTGCTCAGACCATCCACTGAACCTCACTAACCCGCCAGATACATGTCACCACTTCCCAGTCATGACGCCCAGTCATACTTCCTAGTGAGATCTCATGTACCTTAGACAAAATCACAGGGCATGATACTCATTCCAGTTAGCATGGACAAGGCTTTATCTTGGTTTGAACTAAAATAAACCAATCCCAGTCTAAGTCATGAGGGCATGACTCCACTCCCTGCATACAAGCATCTAGCTATCTGCGATGCCAAGGTATCCTCCTGGTCTTCACTGCTGGCCCAGAAGAGTATCTCATAGGTCCTGTGACGTATCTGCCAGCGCCATGTTTCAGATGTCCCAGGGTGCTGCCAGTGGCACCACCTGCCTGTGGTGAGGAAATGGACCCTGGCACAGACTAGCCATACAAGAATTTGCTCCAGTTTGATGAAACTATTAACTCAGTGAATTCATAACATCTGTGTGAGGTGTTGGTGAGGGAAGTGTTGGTGTCAGCAGCTGGTATCCCCAATTTACAGGTGGGAGACTGAGCCACAGACAGACACTGACTGCTTCCGTGCCTGCAGTAAATAAAAGATAGAACCTAAATCTATAAAATCCCAAGAAATAATGTTACCAAAAAGCCATAAAATGCTTTTGGTTATTTATAGCAGACTGCCTACTTTGCCACTGACATCTGAGTCTTTTTAAATTGCCTTGTTCCAGCACATTTTTCAAAAAAGTCCTTTGCCTTTGAATTCTCATACATGTAGTCTGTGGTCAGAGAAAAAATTGTGGAAAATGTGAAAAACTAATTGATTGTGCAATTTTTAATAAGTTTCCCTTGGGAATCTCAAGTACACTATTACTTTTGAAATGGTTTTGTCAGGCTATATTCCAAGATTGACTTTAGATTTGATTTATTGGAGATAACTTCCACACACTAAGAGCAGACCTCCAAAGTCTTCCCTTTGTCATTTGAAAAACAACCACAGGAGAAAAAATCCATAACTTTTCTTCATTTCTTTCCAGATATAATCAAGAGCTACACTGCCTCATAGCCAACAGTATGAGCTTAACAGAGCAGATGTGAGCATATTTAAGCAAGGAGCAGAGCAACTCAGGAAAAAATAGGACTTCGGACAACATGAATCACACTAGAAAGGCAATAGAGATGACTAAAATTGTTTATTATTTATGAAAAGTTGAAGGTCAACATGACACTGCGGTGCTAAAGGTGTAGTAACATGCAACACATTTACCACCTCAGGAGGACTGCAGTCAGAACAGCTCAGAAAAAAGAGTTAAGGGAGTAAAAAGTTGGACAGGTAGGAACTCAGCCCTTGAATAAGTGAGATCAGAATTTTCTGTGAAAGAGGAAGCCTGTATATGCATATTTGAGATATTTGCATAAAAGAGATATTTGTATATATCTTTTTAATGTTTTTTTTTTTTTAATCAAATGCATTGAGTCTTGGAGAAGATAAATCTCATTACATACAGGAAAGGCCTACAAATCCCCAGATCTTAGTAAGGAACGTAGGCTGAGAGTGAAGTCTGTTGGCCACCTGAGTCAAATTCTCTGTTGGTTTAAACAGATGCAACTCTACTGAAATAAAAGGTCCATTACAGTTTTGAAAATTAAATGGGCAGTAGAATAGATGTTCTACACATTCACAGTACACTGCTCTCAGTAGAGTGCATTGTCAATACCGTCTATCAATACCCTTAATTCACGATTTTCAAAAGACCCCGTATTAAAAACCACCATTTGTATCTTTTCTTAGAGTTTTCTATTCAGTTTTATAAATACCATCCTTTTAAAAGTCTGTGTTCTCCCTCTTCCTTCTAGGTGGCAAATTTACTCAGACTCTTCCAGATCCCCCAGATAAGTTATGCCTCCACCAGTGCCAAGCTGAGTGACAAATCCCGCTATGACTATTTTGCGAGGACAGTGCCTCCTGACTTTTACCAAGCAAAAGCCATGGCTGAAATCTTACGGTTCTTCAACTGGACCTACGTATCGACAGTTGCTTCGGAAGGAGATTATGGGGAGACGGGGATCGAAGCCTTTGAGCAGGAAGCTCGCCTCCGGAACATCTGCATTGCCACCTCCGAGAAAGTGGGACGATCCAACATCAGAAAGTCCTACGACGGTGTGATCAGAGAGTTGCTCCAGAAACCCAATGCCAGAGTGGTGGTGCTCTTCATGCGAGGTGATGATTCTCGGGAACTCATTGCAGCTGCCAACCGTTTCAATGTTTCCTTCACTTGGATTGCCAGTGACGGATGGGGAGCTCAAGAGAGCATCGTTAAAGGCAATGAGCATATAGCTTCTGGAGCAATAACCTTGGAACTTGCTTCCCATCCGGTTAAAGAGTTTGACAGGTATTTCCAAAGCCTCAGCCCTTACAATAATAGACGCAACCCCTGGTTCAAGGACTTCTGGGAGCAAAAATTCCAATGTAATCTCCAGAACCGAAAGCCACATAGAAAGACTTGTGAGAAGCACTTCACTATCAACAGTTCCAACTATGAGCAAGAATCCAAGATTATGTTTGTTGTGAATGCCGTGTATGCAATGGCCCACGCCTTGCATAAAATGCAGCGGACTCTATGTCCAAACACCACCAAACTCTGTGATGCCATGAAGCATCTGGATGGCAAGAAGCTGTACAAAGATTACCTTCTGAAAGTAAACTTTACAGGTAATAACTTACATCTCTCTTTTGGTACTTTCAGAATGTTGCTGTAATTAATGACATGTTTGGTGATCACAGTAAGAGCCAGCTGAATTCCCAGTAGTCCCTAATATCAGAGTTCAATGCAGTGTAGGACCCAGGAGAGGCCAATTCTGCCACAGGAAAGGAGAAAGAAGAGCAGCTGGGACAGGGAGCCTGGGAAGAACCTTAAAAAATCAGGTTATGATCCTGCTGCTTCCAGTAGAAGGAGGAGGTGGAGGTGGCAGCTGCTGGTGTTGGAAATGCTCCTCTTCATCCTCTAAACAGCGACTTCCACGCACCAGCTTCCACTTCATTCACAGCCAATTTGCCTTTCTCTAGGCAAGTCCAGATGCCAGTGGTCATTTCACCACCTGCTATACTGGGCAACTGCATACTGTGCTTATGCCAAAAGTTGGCCTTTTCTTCCTCATTTTATTGTGAGAATTTGCATAATAGTTGGATCCTGATCAATGGCCAGTGACTCTGCATAGCAAAGCAGTAGTTCCTGCCATAGGACCAAATCAGTATCAAGTATTTAAATACATTTAAGTATATAAAGATCTCCACGATCTTTAAGCTTGATGACAAAGTATAAAATCTAGATAAAACACGCACAGGCGTGGAAAGAAAGTGGGTGAAGTGATAATGATCTGAGGAGACCTCATGGTGACTGGCTGTGCAGCATAGGTCTTTGCTTGTTTTTGCCATCATATATGGTTGAGCTTAGTCTTTTAGCAATGTTACACCACAGCAAGGCTAAGTAGATCTGAAGGCTAAATAGGTCTGAGGGAGTAACAAAGCAAAATGTAGACAATCATGGCTTCTTGTTACGTGCCTAACTTTCTTCTAAAGCACTTATATTGAACTTGATTTGTTACACTGATATTCTCAGTTGACTGAGTTGATAGGAAGGGAACAGCAGTTTGTGCTTCATATGAAAACTGGCTCTAAGAGGAACCAAAGGACATTACGTCTATGATACAACATGCTCACTCCCAAGTGACCCTTAATGGCAGTACAACATTATTAATGCTGGAAACTATCTGCAAATGTTAGATTGGAGCTTGAGCTTCTCCCTTCGGTGGTCTTCTCAAGTTTTGATTCAGATCCATCTCCAAATACTGTGGAGCAGATCCCTAGTGTTACTCTCACTCCTAGTGAGAGTAGGAGTGGGAGACTTTCTTGGGTACCCCTAGACATACCTCCCACAGCGAGCTGCAGTGCTCCCCAGGACCCTGGTCTCACGGTACCCCACTAGATGATTTTGTTAGAGGACATCAGCGTTTCCTGCTGGCCTGCCCACATACCTGAATTTCTTCTCCATGGAAATCAAAGAGAGACGGGTGGAAGTGGTCATTTCCTGCATCTTCCCTCAGGTTGTGATTTGGGAGGACACAGGACCTTGACATGCCCTAGTAATATAGTTGCAGTTGTAAAGAGAAATAATAACTCTCAGCGAGAGGAGCTGGAAGTTGAAATGCTTCAAAACCCTCATTTGTGTTGCATGCAGTGCAGCTGAAGCAACATGCCTGGCGCAAGCAACACGATACACTTACGCTGTTTGGTCTCCTCCTAAATATTTCTGTATCAGTAAGAATACTCATGCACCCTGATGTATACAAATGCATTTATAGCGTGTCACATGGATTATCCTTATTTATTTATTTCGCATGTCACAGGCAACAGCACAAGCAGGATGAATCAACATTTCAGGCTTTAGATCTAATGGAAAATCAGGAATAACCGCCATTTCTCCTCTCCTTCGACTTAGCAATTAATTCATATAAAATATGTTCTTGTTTATTTACATTTATCCCTAAAGATACTTGAAAGTCTTGAAATTATTGAAATCCAGGGGATTTAGGAGCATAGCACTTTACAGGACCTGGGTCCTGGCAGTTTTATCTCAAGCAAATGACAGCCCGGTGCAACATCCCTCAGCAATTCTGCCACTTCAGGACAGTAACAGCATGCCCAAATGAGTAAGCGGTTC